GTTTTCATCGTTTTTGTATTCAAAATTCTATTGATAATTGATGCATTATTGAAAACGTTGTTATAGAAAATTAACCTATGTCCCGATGTGCCCTTTCTATCACTTCTTTCATACACATCACTGGAAAAGTCTGAGAAAACATACTCTTTGGTGACATTTTCCACTACAGAGAGCTTACTTTGGGACAATGTAAATGTTGGAATATTACACAGATAGCAATAAAAGTTTCGATACGGATATGTCAGATCTGAAACTGGGTTATTTTCGCACAAGTGTTGAATTTTATTCGTAGCGGATTTTGGACATGTAATTGTGGATTGCCGAGGTCTCGTGATGGTTTTTAGTTTGCAGAGGTAACAAAAAAACATTCTTATAGAGTCTGAATTCATTAACATAGGAAGAGGAACAAGCAATCTGAAGATCTTCATCACGAGAACATGGTTCAGTGAGATATTGATTATCATCTATATACGTAGGAAAGACGACGCCTCGAAGGCTGGTCGGAGGGTAAAAAATAACATAACTGCTCTCTTCCTTGATGTATCTTTCCAGTACTTCAAGAGAGTCTAAGAAATTAATATTCTTAATATTTTCATCAATGGGTATATCCCACTCCACAATGTCTGATTTCTTTTCGCCGTTACACAAAGCACAGTGGATGTTATAGTAAGTATAATTACTCATTAGAGATGTAACGAAGATTCTGTTTTTGAAATTGTTATCAGGGTTTTTGCATTTATCAAGCATCTCTGTATTCTCAGGACAATCATCGACAATGTGATATTGAGGATATATTTCAGGCAATATTTCATTCCTTGGTGACCATTGAAATGTTGAATAATAGAATCGCGTCAATTTTCTTTCGAAAAACTTGTCTGGGCAACACTTATTCTCATGAAGGCAAGAATCCTTGCATGAGCACGAGGGACACCGCAACTGTACCGAATTCATCTGGAATCCAGTTAAGGCCGGCCGATCTTTGCAAACGCCGTTTTCCCCACATGAATTTATGTATATACTCATAAGTCTTGTAAGATTCAGTTTTGAAGAAGTTGTAGAAAGTGAAATGATAAAAATCAGTTTGAAAACAAATGGATACATGATGGTTCCTGAAATTGATCTGAAAGTCAAACAAATTATTGATTAATTATTCATAGGATTATAGACACATATTTGTGAACAAATGAATAATATAAACGTAAATATTTCTTATATGCTGCAAGCTTCATACAACGTGCGCCATTTATTTTGCCAATATATAGAATACTTTAAAGTACTAAGTTACATGTTTTTTTAATGCTTGTGCCCCCTCAATATTATCCTTTTTAAAATAATTGCTTGTCAAGGAATTACGGTAGGTGGTTATGCTCGAACTGAAAAAAATGGCTGTGCCCACCCCCACCCCCCACCCCCAAATGTAAATGATTCCTACGGGTCTAGCAAATAATTTGATTTTCAAAAGAAAGGGGGTAGGAAAGAAAACCAAGGTTTATTTTTTTTTAGAATATACATAGCCTTAAAACCTGTAAAGATTTTATATTCTTTAGGTCCACTCATTAACAAATAACGGATATTCCCATAAATTACTATGACATGCAATCAGTCATTAACTTAAGAACTTCTGATATTTTTTTTTCACGGGAATGGTTATGTAAAGCTCTCAACGTTTTTTGTTTTAATTCTCGTTTTAATTTAAGTGAGTGAACGTGCAATTTTAAATCTTAAAGATGATTCTTTTATTAAGAATTTATTATATTGCATTAAGCAAATCCTTTAACAAATACCGAATCAAATACTTGGTAAAAAAAACTTACCAATGATGAAAAGCTGGCTTCGATCAAAAAGAAATGTGAAGCATTATTTTAATAAATCGAGTTTTAAATACTCAATTTACTAGGTAGAAGTGAAAGTTGACGGGTTAATTTTTGGTATCGTGTATAGTGCAATATCATATTGTTTTTCAATCTGTTTAATCGGATTGTACAACACACTTATATTGAATCGTCTCGAATTATCAGGTTTCACTTTGTATATCTTAGGTGCAGTACCAACCTAACATAACGTACTCATATAAAAGTCTCGGGAGCTGCTTTCGGGACTGCCACGGCAGTGCCAAAGGGCGGGGCTCTTAATTTAATGCGCGGAGCCTACTAGGAAATTAGATTTTCAGTAAAAATACTAGGAAATTGGAGTGTCAATAAACAGTGATCTATATAAAGGCTTTTCGAATTCAGTCACGTAGCATCGTTGATAAAAGGGGGTAGCCAGAAGAAGTTGACATGGGGGAAAAAGGAAAATGAAGAAAAAATAGCCCAAAGTAGAAAATACTACATCATGGGGGTGGGGTGGGGTGATAAGGCCAACTTCTTTCAGTGCTATTTTTTTTCCCTACAATACTACATTTTCCCTATATCAAAAAATGTTGGGGGGATCAATCAGCCTTTCAATGAACTTTCCTATAGTATAGGTAAGGTTGAAAAAAATTGCCTGGAATAAGTGGTGCATTTCTTTCTTGAATCAGGAAATAACAGCTTGTTATATACATTGTCATATACATGAATTAGCAAATATGTACAATGCTTACATGTTGTCATTCTGAACTGTTTGGAAAATCACAGTACGCATAAATTAACAAAAGATAATTATTAAAGATTAAAAGAAAACGTTCAGACTTATAATTTAATCAAAATAATAACAAATAACTAGAACAAAGCTCGTTGCAAAGCAACGAGGAGGTCTTCCGTCCTGTTTTAACCGGAAGTGACGTCAGCAAAAAGCAATTAGCTTAGTCGTCTCCATTTACTTTATAATTTCAATTTTGCATCAAAACCTTAAAAAGTGACGTCGCCGGACGCATTTTGACGACTTCATTAGATTGCGCATGACATTTTGAACAACATTGCTTCTTGAATGTATTACAAATTCTCAATACTTTTTGAGATATCTGGAAAACACTTTTGGCCCCTTTTAATCCCTTAATTTAGGGGTCAGCCCTTTTTTCGAGATATTATTTAAAAGAACTTGTAATTCTGCACATATTTTGTTCTATATGTTTTAACAAAATATTTTTAAGTTTAGAAGATAAAAAGCAAAACAATAAATTTTCGCTCTTTTAGGCGTTCTAATTATTGACCCCTATATAGCACCATTTTGAATAGAGAAATCGAAAAACAACCAGAAGTCTCTGTCGAAACTGTAGCTCTACTGGTTTTTAACTATAACAAAGGATGAGAAAAGAAGCCATTGCAATCAGACAAAAACTGTAGAAGGAGTAGCGTTTTGAAGGAATTTCAGAGAAAATTCTATTTTTAGTAACCATGGCAACAACGTTCATCGAAATAAAAAACCGATGCACAGAATTATGTATCTTAGTGTAGGTTACTTGTGTGCCGAGTAATATTGAAATCAGACCAAAACTGTAGAAGGAGTAGCGTTTTAAAGGAATTTCAGAGAAAATTCTATTTTTAGTAACCATGGCAACACCGTTCATCGAAATCAAAAACCGATGCACTATTTTATGTATCTTAGTGTAGTCTACTTGTATGCTAAGTAATATTGAAATCAGACCAAAACTGTAGAAGAAGTAGCGTTTTAAAGGAATTTCAGAGAAAATTCTATTTTTAGTAACCAAGGAAATACCGTTCATCGAAATCAAAAACCGATGTACTATTTTATGTATCTTAGTGTAGTCTACTTGTGTGCCAAGTAATATTGAGATCAGACCAAAACTGTAGAAGGAGTAATGTTTTAAAGAAATTTCACAGAAAATTCTATTTTTAGTAACCATGGCAACACAGTTCATCAAAATCAAAAACCGATGCACTATTTTATGTATCTTACTGTAGTCTACTTGTATGCTAAATAATATAAGTAATATTGAAATCAGACCAAAACTGTAGAAGGAGTAGCGTTTTAAAGGAATTTCACAGTAAATTCTATTTTTAGTAACCTTGGCAACAACGTTCATCGAAATCAAAAACCGATGCACTATTTTATGTATCTTACTGTAGTCTACTTGTTTGAACAAGTTATATTAAAGCTGAACACGATTCGTAAATAAGCCTACGCCATTTTTGTTTCACTATTCACTACTACCAGCATTAGGGTATACCCTACGATTTCGTTACGCCTGATTGCTTTCTCACCTGAGCTACCGAAGGTAGCAAAACTACAAGAGGCCACACAAGGGGTAACCAAAAAACTACAAAAATCATAACATGACACAAAAAAGAATAAACCCCAAAAGATAACTCTCCCGTGAATAACGTGCACAAATTAAAAATACCCTCCTATATAAAAAAGCGAACGGAGCTCTAACAAAACCTTTTCTGAAATTCACGCAAGCGTTTGGATAGATTTTCCGAGACAGGTTACACTTGCACGTGCTTTTCCGAGTTTTCGACGCAAGTTTGGATAATTGCCACAGAACAAAAAGCCCATAAAGTCTCCAGAACAGGTGAGGTTCAATAAATAACGTATTCAAGAAAATATTTATCCATATAATGTGAAATATGAATAAGAAGCACGCGTTTTCATTAGTGTCACGATTTGTGACTTTCCTCTCCTCTTAGTTTCCATAAACTGTAATGCGCATGTGCGACAAAATTTGAAAGCGAAAGTAGTGACAGAAAACTGATCAAGGGATAGGTTATTGTACAGTGTATGAAGGCTGAAAATCTCTTTGGAAAAAGCTAAGTTACATTGATTATACTCTTTGTTTATTTCAAGATGTAGTTATTTTCAATTAGAGGCGAAATAAATGTGAAAAGAATTGTTACATTGCCTTGTCATAAATATTTAACACGGGGAAAGGAAGGGGGGTTCTTGAGCTATTCTTGTATTCAGTATTGATCACTTGAGTCAGTATTTTTTTTTTAATTATAATCCATCAAACTACTACACACAAATTAAGAAATAAAAAATACTGTTGTCGTAAAAAATAGTTTATAAATTTGATAACTTATTATAAATTTAATGATTTTTTTTTTCGTGTTTCAACTACAAATGAACTTTTATTTCAGCATGGCTTTCTTACAAGAAGAAACTGAAGACATGGAGTATGAATATAACTCTTGTGACAGTGAAGTATGATTTAAAGATAACATGTGTATTTGCATTATTCTGCAGATATCTGGTAGATATGATAGCAATGACTTCATTGCCACCTTTTGTCATGTTTATATATATATAATAATTAGCCTTAATCAAAAATTTTGTCAAAAAGTGCTAATGAGAAATATAATTATCCTTCAAAACAACACATTTTCTGCTCATAGTATGCAGCTGAATTTAAGGATGATTACGGTATAATTAGGACATGTACTATTATATTGTTTTTATTTAATATTTTTGTAGGATGAAGAAGAGGTAAGTAAAGTTATAAAGGATATCTTTGGTGATGAAGAACACCATGAAGAGGATGCGGATGATGAGAATATGGACGAGAAGTTAGAGAACGATGACAATCCTCTGTGGAATGATTTTCAGTATGTAGTTATGGATAAGTGTATAATATTATTGCAAATTTATCAACAGACTGTACTTTGTCGATTGGTTTAGATGTGCATGTATTAATGATCTTTGGTTAAACTTGGCCTGGTGGTTTCTTGACAAGAAGTTGAAAATGTGAAAAGTTTAGCTTTAATATCAGGTGAGCTATATAAAGACAGTAGTTTCACCTTCATTACACCAAGCAGTAAGAGGGAGTGTTTTATAATACACCTATATATACCGGTATAACTTGGTACAAAGCATTCTTGGGTAAAAGGGAGTTTAAATTGTCAAAATAAAGAGCCAAGATCCCTTCCAAGAATAGACAAAGTAAGGTTGGTACGTCCTTAAAAAAATTTCTTCTGAAGAACCACTGGGCCAAAAAAGCTGAAACTTATGTGGAAGCTCCTGGGGTGGTGTGTATTCTAAATTGTTCATGTCATTGACCCCCTGGGGGTAGATCAGGGCCACAATAGGGAATCCAAGTTTTACATTGCAATTTATAGGAAAAAAATCTGCTGAAGAACCACTTGGCTAGTAAAGCTGAAAGAAAAGTGGAAGCATTCTGGGGTAGTGTAGATTCTATGAAAAAAAGGGTCAATTATTGCCAATTGTCGAAAACTTAAATGAGGCTTTGCTTCCCAGCCGACACTGGATTTTGTTCTTGATTTACCCATAACTATTGGCAATTAATATAGCACCCCCTCTTTACACATGATGTTGGACCTGCATCTGACAAAAAATATTAGTATAAGACATGCAGTGTTAAAACATGATACCTTTAGTAGTTATTATTGATTTATTTTTTCCAAGAGATGAGTGAAGAGTATGCTTTACTGAAAGAAAGGAAGTTTATAGTTGGAGAGAAGACCATCATAGATTTGCTGAAGAGAGTTAAGTGTGAGCAGTGTGAAGGAGGGATAATCTCGTCTAGTATTGAAGAAGGGGAGGCTATTGCAGCTGGAATTAAGTTCAAGTACAAATGCGTCGTAAGTTTTTCAATTAGAACATTGCTATATTTACGTAATAATTTTATATGCCTAGCATGTTATTTGTTAAATAATGCCAAGATTGGTCTTCCATGTCACACTGTATTTCTATTAAATTTAGAATGGACATCCTGGGAAATGGATTTCTACTCCATTTTATGGAGGTAGAAGTTTCATCAGCATGATGTTGCAACTTATGGTGCTTTTATCTGGTTAGTTATCTGAATTGAAATTTCATTTTAAAAATTCACTTGAATATTTTTTTTAATGAATGCCAAGAATGAAGAAGGGTACATGTAATAAATAAAAAAAAAATGAACATTATTGTAAACTAAGCATTATTTGTGTCATCTTTGATATGCTTTTCATCAATTTTAAATCAAACTCTATGACTATTAATTTTCACAACTGAGAAAATATTCTCTACAATTACAAATCAAAATGATCAGTTCACGGCGTAAAATATTAACTAACTAAAGTAGGTCTTGGTACTTACGAATATATCTCACATGCCAATAAAAGCTCGTTTACAGTAATTGGTTGAAACATGCAAATTTTCATTTTTCTTCTGAAAATTTATTGTTTGAAAAATCTTTTAAAGGAGCAACATTTGAACAGTTTGCCATAGGAGCAAAGTTTGTGAATTTAGTGATTGGGAGTGCCAGTAACTTTTACAAAATGCAACGCCAGTATAGAGTAAGTACCATCAGTATATTTAGTGTTGATTTAACAAAATTTTCAACAATTAAGTTTATTTATATTACAGACAAAAGGATGTGGTTAGGGGATGAGGGAGAGAAAAGTCTATATAATACTTTTAATTCTCTTCAAACACCCTTACATCCAAACACTGGGCCCACTCAGACACCCTCTCTCCAAAACAAACACACCCTTTCCCTCACATATCTATATGATTGTGTAAAAATCAGCATTTATTTATATAACATTTTTGAATAAGTTTTCCTATTATATCACAAATGTAATAAGTTTCGCTATAAACCCTGAAAAATGCCGAGTCACACCGGAAACAGTTATATCCGGCCGGAAACAGTTATGTCATCCTTTCGATCACGTTCACGTGTTGTTACGTTACACATTTTAGCTCGGGTTCGAGATGTTATGACGTCGGTTGCTTTAAGCAAATGTAAACAATGGAGCGTTATTCTTAACGTCAAGAAAGCATTTCTGGATTATTTGTGAAAATTTCAACGATTTTAAATGATTTAATTTTTTTTTAGTTTTAAAAATGTCATATAACATATGCCACATGGCTTCTCGGGCGACTATACCAGAAGATTTGCCCCTCGGTGACAGGAAAGCCCTGGAGTGTTATGTCACCCTCTGCCTTCGGCATCGGGTGACATAACACTCCAGGGCTTTCCTTTCACCTCGGGGCAAATATTCTGGTATGTCACCCTCGAAGCCATGTGATATATGTATATTGTCAAACTTATTCATTGTACATACATATTCTGTAGGTTGCAATAGAGAAATATTTTCGATGCCATATGGAGAAAATGAGGAGATCTTTAGGAGGGTTACCTGTTAGTGTTGCAGTGGATGTAAGATATGATACTCCAGGTAATAATTCATACACATCATGTACATGTATGCTGAGGACTCAAAATATGAATATATATCTTCACTACCTAAGTGTTTGAATCATTTACCATCATCTATTTTAAGTCGATAGATGATCAAGGAAGAGATGAGGGTAAACGAATTGGACACTTGGCTAGCTAAAATGATGAATATATGAAATTGATGATAAATGGGTTAAAATGTTTTGATTATTTTTCATAGAGGAGTTTTGTAAAATGTTTATACCTCAGCAAAATAAGCAGAATACATCTGAGCATTAAAATGATGAATAATACTACATTCTTATAATGCATCTCTGGTGTTTTTGTGGGTTTCAAGTTTATTATTTTTGTTTTTCCACTATATTTATCTTTAAGATTGTAGAACAAAAATAGTTTGACAAGTGGTTACAATATACTCATGTACATGTATTATAATTTGTGAGACATCATTCAACAATATATATAAACAAATCTCACTGTGTGCATGAAGAATTATTAAGAAATTATTTAAATTCATCCAAAAACAAAATATTGAATTTTTATTGCTTCCTAGGTTTCTGCGCAAACAGATCTACTGCTGTCTTTATGGATGTTGACAAGAAAATCATTATCCATATGGAGGTAGGTGACTCAAGGGAGGTTGATAGGAGGAGCCCACGAATGGAAAAGCTTCTAATTGAACGAGGCCTCACTTTCCTGGTTTCAAATTCACCAATTGTGGTATGGGAAGTGATATCTGATGCCAGTAAAACAGTTATTTCTATTTTGAGTAAGTTTTTTATTAATTTATTTATTTATACACTTGACTAATTTCTTTTTGATAAATTCTCCAATGTATTCTCAATCCATCTCATCGTGGGAATGAATTTTATGTTCCTTTTAGCTAACATGAGCTGAAAGCTCAAGTGAGCTTTTCTGATCAAATTTTGTCTTAAGTCCTCTGTCTGTCTACCTGTCTATCTGTCTGTAAATCTATAACATTTTTCATCTTCTTCTCCAGAACCAATGGGGCCTCTGTTTTACATTTTTACATCAACTTATATTGAAACTGAATTAGTTTTATTGAAAACAACCATTTATTTTCAAGAATCTGAGCCATTTCAACACCTACAACACAGTCTAGATGTATGGCACAAATCAAAAAGACTGGCATCTACTTTGGGGGACCTTGCAAAGAAATCCACATTCAAAGCACTCCTTCCTTGGATTAGACCCATCACAAACCATTTTTGGTGGTGTTGCAATACCTCTAAGGGAAACACAAACAAACTTTTGAAGAGATGGATGACAATATTATACCACGTCAACAACAAACATATTTGGCCTGGAGGAAGGTATTGTAAAAAAATTTTAGACCTATTTGCATAGATATCTCTTATAAATTTATATGAAAAGAAGATTGATTGCAAAAATTTCATTTTAAAAAGATTAATATTTCAGAATCAAAGTCCTTAAATTTTTATTGCACCTTGAAACACAATTCCTGTTCACACGGAGAGTTTAATTCAAATCAAACATAAAGTTACTGCGAAATAGCTTCGCTTAGCGTTCACACAGAGAATTTTAAGCAAATTAGTTTAATTCGAAATAATTTACTGCGCATTAAATTACTTCGCATTAGCTCCATGTGAATGCTAAGCAAAGCTAATTTGAATTAAGAGGCTGTCCACCGAAAAACCAGGCAATAGGTGGCACATCGCATGTCATGGATTTTTATTATTTTTTGCATGTAGACTTATTAAAGCAAGTGTTAATACATGGCAACATCAAAAAAATTTTTAGTGGTCCTCTAGTCCTATATTTGGTAAATGTCTAATTTTATGTGCAAAAAGGTCAACATGAGGGTAAAAAAATAATACGTTTTTATTTTGTTTAATATGTAACAAATACTTAAAAGCTGGGTGTGTCAATCAATATTATTTATAGCATAGACTCTTATCTTTTATTTCTTAATGTTTAAGACTCCAAATTTTATTTCTTTAGAAAAAAATTATGTGGTCCAAACTTGAGTTTAGCAAGAGACTTTATGAATTCAGTATCCGATGTTTGATACGTTATAAAAGCCAATACATTACTATGACAGAATTTTTTCCTCATGTTAATATGAAAACAAAGTACAAACTTTTGAGTCACTTCATAAAATTGGTGGGAGCAGGTATATTGAGGGAAATAAGAGGATTCAAATTCACCTATTATTTATGATTTTTCCCAAATTAAACCGATCCCGATCGGAATTATGTAAAGAAGAAAATACTATTACTGTGTTGTTAAATTTGGCTCTTTTATTGTTATATAGTTAAAAATTTACTTTATTTATTTTTATCCATGTCTTATAGGTGGCAGTTGCCTTTAGTTTGACAACTTTATACATTTTGAATTATTTTCGATCGGGATCGGTTTTATTTCAATCGGGTATGGTTTTTTAGGAATATTTCCTAAACTTTGTTCTTAATTTTAATTTACCAGCGAAATGATATGCCTATCTGTTTCTTTTCAGTCAGTAAAATATTTTAAATGATTTTAATTGTCCATATATTCAAATGTATATAATTATTTTAATTCCTTATGTCTTTTACGTACATGATTACAGTGATGATTACAGTGTACATGTAAAACATCCTTGATTTCTTGATACTCGGTATTATATTAAATAAGTGTTTGTACATGCATTATGTAGCAACTCAGAGAAGACAGCTTAGCTTCATTAAATGTCTTATTTCCAAGTATTTTTTTCTTTTATTAATATTTTCTCAGGAATTAATAAGGAGTTAAATTATATTAGTGGCGCATGTACCTTCAGTGTAAATACAGAAAATATTTTTATGTGTATAGTCTCGGGTTTATCCAAGTTTTTCCAATCTGTCATTTGTTAATCCTTTTCACCTATATATTCCTCTTTTACAATTTTGTTTTATGTAAATAAAAGAAGTTCTTTCATATATATATCATTATTTAAGAGCCCATAAATCGCAAGCAAAATGGCAAAGGGGGGGGGGGTGGCGGCATCATGGCATCATTTTTTCAAAAACAGGTTTCATGAATATAAAAACATTTTAGAATTGGCCAACGTAGCCACATATTTTAACTCCATATTAAACGTGAGCACATGTATGTAATTATTTCGATCTCCATATTATATTAAAAGAAATTAAAAAAAAAAAAAACAACAGACACGTTTCACTGAACCATCTTCCGTTTTAGTTTCAAATTGGAGTGGGGAGTTCAGCAGTAATCTTCCGCAATAAATATTAATTGTAACTTATTTTTCAGGGTTTTTTGTTTTATATTTTTACTTGTACCGCTGCTTGTTTCTTTTTATTTGACTGCATAGATAAATATATTAAAGATTTTACCAATATCATGAAGTAAACATCTCAACTTCGTTAAATTAAATTTTGCGTAAATCTAAAATATTCACGATTCCTTGATTATCAGAGGAAAAAAAGTATCACATCCAAATTACATAAGAAATGTTCAATAAAAACACTATCAAAATTAATTATTTTTGCGTATATCCTAGTATTAATAAAATGTATAAAATATAAAAAAAAATATTTAGCATTTTCTGATATTGCACTGTGTAGAGAAATTGTACAGAAAAGGAGAAATTACTTATTTCTAATTATTTTTCTTTGCACTTTTACGCAAAGAATTTACAAACTTTTCTGGAAGTAACTATTTGATTGTGACGCAGTATTAGTCAGGTATATGACGTCACTGATACATCAATGGAAACGTGGATTCATCCTGAATAATACAGCTAATTTTTTATCCAAATAAATACGTCTGCAGGCGTAAATGACTTCTATTTTGAAAAGAAAGTAGTTATTTTTTGTTTAATAATTTTCTTTAGTGTATCAATTCTATTTTTTCACTAGGATTCCGATAGTAAGGCGTTAAGCAGATTTACCAACGCCACGGGAGATAACTCTTGCACTGCAAAATTTCATTAAAACGTCTATATATTTTGCCAGAAAACTAATTCACAAGTGTTTTTCCCACCGATTTTATTTTTGAAACATAAAGATGAAATATTTCTTGATTTAGTTCAGCCTGAATTATAGTCCTGTTAAAAATGTATTGGAAGTTACAGTTCTTTGTTTCTGACCTAAATTCAATGGTTTATATAGGGGAACTCAATTACACGAAAGAAACGGATATTTTACTAAATAAGTAATTTTCAAACAAATCTTCGATTACATTATTCCATTTGGACTACATTGATATTGTTTTCAATAAAATATCACATATTCGTCACATTCGATGTGCCGCCTATCAATACAATACTGCCTGGTTTTTCGGTGGACTGCCTCTTAAATTTTGACACATGTGTAAGGCCAGAATTAAACTTGTCGTGTGAACAGGGCAACAGTTTGATAGGATTGATTAATTATATATTGTTTAACATCTCTCTGGAGAATTTTTTACTCATATGGAGACCCCAACACTTGCTGATGGAGAGCTAAAATTTTAAACTATACTCAGCATTGAGGGCCATTGAACAGTGAGAGCTTTTTGTGCAAGCACCTACTGTGACATAGGAATTCTGCTTATATGGTCTCATATAAAGAATCGTTCTCCAGATCCTACATTGGAATTTAAACCCCCCAGTGTAAGGATAGACTCCTTACTTTTCGACTTAAGCAAATGTTCTAACCTTTCGACTTAAGCAAATGCTCTAACCACTGCACCCTGCAGGCAACTCAAATTCGTAGGAAAATAATTTTTATCTGCTTTTAGACTTGAAATTTTTAATTGTACCTGAACCATAAACATGATATTTTGGTAAACTGTCAAGTTTATAATATAAAAGTCAAGGTCACTTGATTTTTGAGTTCCATCTCAATTTCAATTTCATTGATATGAAAACTATGATGGTTTTTTTCCCCCACAAGTTTGAGTTTTGATTTGCTTAAAACAAAATCATTTAATATGACAATGTGTACCTCTTTCAACAAATTCATGAATGGCTTTGGCTGCCATAATATTTTTGATAACGTTAGCATTTAACCCAGAATGATAATTATACATACATGTAACAAGTAAAGTTTCTGTAAGGTAAATTCTTTTGAGGTATACTTGGTGTCTAAGAAAATTTTGTGTATAATATTTCAGATGTCATCATCCCGAGGGATTACAGAATCCAGAAGGAGCTAAATGGCTGCAAAAAGATTCATCAGCATACAAGGAGTTAAGGTAAAGGTCCCAAACATTCATGCATTGAATTGTTTATTATACCGAAACAAGCAATAATATTTTATTGAATGAACGTAAACTTTCAAATTCGGCACTGCTCTCAAATTCACTTTTAAAGGTAAAGTTACTGAAACCCTATGGCACATCACTAATGAATAATTTTGTGATGTAAACCAGGCTTCTTTGACGTTTACTTCTCTAGGGATTTTTTTTTCAACGAACATAAATTATATTGTGGGAAAATGCATTACTTATCTGAAAAGATGGAATATGATTAAAAGCATGCTGACAACTGTGAAATATGAAGTTTTATGGCCCGATCATGTGATGATCTAGAACCAATCAGATAACGCATTGTGTAGATTAATAATAATGAGATGTAATAATATCTTATATACATGTATTCTTATTTTACAGAAAGGTAGTTTTGAACAGAGATTGGTGTGGCTCTATAAAGTACTACACACACTGTAGACAGACATGGGCTGTGGAAAACTTCTTTAGCCACACCCTCCTCCACTACTGCCCCAAGCAGAATTCCTTCTCATATGATGCATATCATATAAGAAATATGTTGGCAGTTTTAGACTACAATAACCATGTTGGAAGGGCAGTGCGTGTCACAGAGGATGGTCAACCCTATGCTCAAGCACAGGTGTCAAGACGGACCAAACAGTGGGTTGCCTATGAGAAGAAGTGCCCAAAAGACTTCAAATATATTCCAGGCAAGGATCCTTTTTAGTATTACAAATCCATTTTTATGGATTAGTAAAATAATTTTAGATTGATTGATATACATGTAGATATTGAAAGCCATAATATCCAAAGGATTTGACTTATCTTTTTTTCCCTATACATTGTAACTGCCCATCTATTATTGTTTGTTGAATAGCTTTAAAATGAATACCATATATCCTTCTTTTGTGGTGATCTATTTTTTGCTTTTTTTCTTATCATTTTTAATTAGCAAAATATTAAACACCCAGAAATTATTCCAGCTATAATGTAACATAAAAGCATTACACTTTTAAACAAAAAAAAAATCTTCAATCGTAAAAAATAACTTGCTCAAAATAAAAACTGTACTTATCTACCAATTTTCGCAAAATTTCTAACACACAAAAAACCCCGGATATACAGAATACTGGTATAACATGATTGTACAGTGTATTCTCTTTTTTAAATTCAGAACTGATGTCTGTGTGCTTAAGAGAGACGTATGGTAAACCGTTGTACACCTACACGAACAGTGACAAGGAAATAAGTTTAAGGTCTTCTCAGCCTAACCTCTCTGGAATGATCACTCCATCCTCAAAGACTCTCTTAGCATGTATGAAAAGCAGGAAAAAATAAGGTAATGCATGTTGAATTTTGGTTGGTAATTTATAAGCAAATACTCTTTGTAACTTGATGTGTAATAAATCAATTTGGATAGCATTGATATAGATATAACATAATTTAACAAACATCAATCATTCAATATATCATATGGGCCCAATAATCATAACTATGTCTAAACATAAGTAGGTACATGTTGCTCAGTCAGAATCTGAATATGCAGAATGGTACCCAGTGTATTGTCTGTTACTCTGGGGGAACCTAAGGCGAACTGTATGTGTTACACAGGCTGGTACTGGAATGCGTCTTCCAGCACCAAGACGGCCATGTTGCCACAAGATAAAGTTTCTGTAAGCCTGGTTTCTAAATTTGGACATGCAAAAGCTAGGGTCCTGGTTGGTTTGGAAGCTCCAATTCAAGATGTTGGCAATCTCCAGCACATCATGCCTCAAGCAGAGATTGCGGAAATCAGGCTTTGATGTAACGCATGAAGATTGCCTGCAGCAGATGTTCATGCGGGGGTCCTCATAAATCTGACATCCTCCACATGAACACCATGGCACACTTGAATTGGAGCTGCCTGAAACCTGTCCAGAACCATGTTGCTGTCCAATTATGAAAGGCTGCATTAATTCAGGGCAAGCTGTAATAGCTCTCTTCAGCCTTGTCCTCATTTCATCTGCGGACATGTTGTCAACTGCAGCCTAAAAGTAAAATTGAATATGACAGTAAATGTTTTGAACATTAAAAGTTACTACAGCAAAACTCTTTTAATTTGAACACAGATACCAGGTTTTGCAAATTTACGGATATAGCGAAGTCATCTTGGATCCCCAGATATATAAATTTAGTGACTTTCTTATACGATTATAACGAATTACGGATATAGCAAAGTAATTTTACAGGTCCCAGCGATTTCGCTCTAACCGAGTTTTAATGTACATGTATATGAATACTATGACAATATATCTAAGACTACCATGAGATTGACACATTCCACCTCATCTCTTGTATTTTCAGGAGATGCCTGGGCTGCCATAACCTCATTCCTGCTGGGCTGGTCTTCATTCTTGGCATTTCGTGCACTATTTGCAGCATATGGATGGAGACGAACCTGAAAGAGAAAATGTGAAAGATTCAAAATAATAATATTCCCTTTCGATCTAGGAGGACCTCAACGTGGTGGAAGGGTGAACATCATAAAATAGATGGCCAACACTCCTAGGATGAACGCCAAGTTGTAACACTTACTGTAGCATTTGTCTTAAACTGACATATCGGATTCATGCAATTAGTGCAGCCTCTCCTTTTGCAGGCACAGCTCTTCCATTTGCCTCGATTTTCACAAGGACAGCATTTCTACAAGAAGGAAAGCATTCAAGGATATTTTTAAAAACAATTTCATATTGTAAGTGCTTTATAAAACATACCAGGTAATAAATATTAAACAAGAGACTGTGTATTTTAATATTTTCATGATGATTAAAACAAAGGTGTTAGGCCAAGCTTAAAAATGTTTGCATTGCCTACCTATAATATCTAGGGAGGGTAGGTAAGAAGATTTTTTTGCACCTTTCACATTTTCAGTGCATAACAAAAATTGGTGCACTGAACATAAAAAAGCCCCACTTATTAGAAACCAGTGATTGAAAATGAAAAAATAAAAAACAGAAAATGAAAAAGTTTCAATATCCCGAAAACTTGAAAAGAAATTTGGGTCATTCCTTTTTTTAGTGGATTGGTAGGCAATTGCAAACAAATTTTTATTGAAGGCCTAACATTTATTATTTAAAAGCAAAGGTGTAAAATATATTACATAGATCTGTACACATAGGCAGGTCCAGGAATTTTTTATGGGGGAGTCTACTGTATAGTTTGAAAGTTTTTTCATCCAGTTGCAACCCTTTATTATGGTGTAACCCCCTTTATTTTAAAATTTATGTGTAAAATGTAAAGATTTCAAAGACCTTATTCAGAATTTCATTTTTTAAAAAGTGAATAAAAATAAAATTACATTTAAAATCATAATAAATGTGGAAAGGAAACAAATTTTAAATTGAAATATTTTTTTGTTAAGAAATGATGACAATTATGAAATTGTGTCTTTTCACAGTATAATACCCCTGCAGGTACAGTTTTAGCATTCAATCATCACATTTTGTTGAGTATCCATTTGTGACCTAAAAACATCTTGAATTTCTATAAAATACAGGGCTAATGGTAACTTAAATCTTTGGTGCCACATTATCTTTAAGGGGAAGATGATGAATTTCAATAGTAAAAACAACTCTAAGGAATTTTGAGTTGAAACCCTATAAAAACTTCCTAACTTGGTCCAGATTCATTTTTTTAAAATCATTGCTTCCTTGTTACATTAGAGATCAACCAAAATTAGTTACATAAGGAAGCAAGGTGTCTGAAAGTCCTGACCCAATTTAATCCCCCTCCTCCAAATAGTTGATACCAAGATTTAATTTTATATTAAAACAACACTCTTTTAATAAAGATTGAAAATTTATTAAATAATATGACCTAAATATGAAAACTGCAAATATTTTATACAAGGGAACAAATGCAAAGAAATGATTGCAAAGTTAAAGAACCCCTCGAAAAAAAAATTATTGCAAATGACTTCTTTTGTAAAGTTCATAAATACTTTAAATCAATCTTGGTATTCCTTTTCTCTTATTTCATATGTTTGTTGTTTTATTCATTTGACTTGCAATAATTCAGTGAAATGACAATTAACTCGATATTTGAAACAAACGGATTTTCAATTACTATTCACATATGAAAAAAGGTGAAAGAATATATTTGAATTTGAAGTGTCATCATTTATACAGGTTGGGACCAATTGCCCAAATGGGATATAATAGTCCGTTTGGGATATAATTTCCCAAATGGGCTATAAATTTACAATGCAAAAAATGATGCGGATTTATGATATTTATTTCCAAAATAAAAATTTTCATTTTTTTGCACTGTAAATCTATAGTGCATTTGGGATATTATATCCCAAACGGACTATTATATCCCATTTGGGCAATTGGTCTTAACCTGTTATATAGTCTTTCAGGTTGTCTATCTATAGAATATATTTTTAACTTTAGTTTAATAATTACTTCTTAAAAGTTCAATGAATAGAAAATTATAGGTGTAGAAGAAAAAGAGAGAATACATTTCATAATGCAAAACTTGAAGAAATGGAGCCGCCTATATATTTATTTTTTTTTTACTTTCAATTTCACACACAATAATGACATCTCCCTTGTCAATGTTTAGAGAGCGCTTGTTTTATAGACCAAGCGCAAAACCGACCCTGATTTCATTGTTGTGTTCGAATGGATTACGTGCACAGAGAAGGTGTTGTGGTCACATATTACTTTGTCTTTGTACTGACTTTTTATTTATCTTATACATGCATTTATGCATGTTTGTATGTCACTGACCTGTGCAACTTCTGCCATGGTTCTTTGGTAGCTCTTTTGTTACGTATCTGGCAAACGCGTACAAATGTTACTGTCGATTTGGAGTACAAAGGCAAGGTAGTATTGATCTACACAGGTAGAATCTGAAACGCGAAATGCATTGAACCGTGGCGCGGTTTGCCGCTTATATAGCAGTTCCAAATCTGAATCAAATGAGAACTAAAATGGCGGATTTAAAGAGAAATATGGCGGACAACGATAAATCTCTTTCTTTTACGAATCGTGTTCAGCTTTAAAATCAGACCAAAACTGTAGAAGGAGTAGCGTTTTAAAGAATTTCAGAGAAAATTCTATTTTTAGTAACCATGGCAACACCGTTCATCGACATCAAAAACCGATGCACAATTTTATGTATCTTAGTGTAGTCTACTTGTATGCTAAGTAATACTGAAATCAGACCAAATCTGTAGAAGAAGTAGCGTTTTAAAGGAATTTCAGAGAAAATTCTATTTTTAGTAACCATGGCAACACCGTTCATCGACATCAAAAACCGATGCATAATTTTATGTATCTTAGTGTAGTCTACTTGTATGCTAAGTAATACTGAAATCAGACCAAATCTGTAGAAGAAGTAGCGTTTAAAGGAATTTCAGAGAAAATTCTATTTTTAGTAACCAAGGAAATACCGTTGATCGAAATCAAAAACGGATGCCCTATTTTATGTATCTTAGTGTAGTCTACTTGTGTGAACAAGTTATATTAAAATCAGACCAAAACTGTAGGAGGAGTAGCGTTTTGAAAAAATTGTTTACAGACAGACGGACAGACAGACAGACAGACGGACGACGGACACCTTACTATCGCATAAGCTCTTCTGGTCTCCCTGACCAATAGAGCTTAAAACCACTATGCACAACTTCAATCCTTCTATTATCTAAAATCAGTAGAATTTTTGCTCCAGCTTTAGCTGTCTCTGAGCCTTTGTCTGGAAACGAAAGCCTATAAATTTTCGTTTGAAGGGAAATAACTCAAAACCGGAAGTGACTATTTGAAATTTTAGATAGCATTCTGATAGAGTTTAGTAACGTCTATCAACTCTGAAAATTTGAGCAAAATCCATCGAGAAGTGAATGAAATATGAGGCCTCAAAGTTGGCGTCTAGGAAAAGGAAAAAAAAAGAATAATAAGAACTAGGAGACTTATTGTTCACAGAACAATAAGAGGTCTTTCCACCTTCTTTGAATTTCAAATTTGTTTCATATCTGACTCCTAAAAATTAAATTCCATGAAAAAGAAACGAAAACTCTCTTAAACCATAGAAAAAATGAAAATTAAAAAAAAATGACCTTGACGTTTGACCTTGAAAAAATATTCAAGGTCAAAGGTCAAGGGTCACAGTGCAATTGAACCCATGCTTCTATGACTTAAAGTTTTCAAGTTATAAGGTTTAAAAGTAAGTACAAAGAAGTAAAGGGCAATAACTCATACAAGGGGTCATCAGATGCTTTTGCACTTTTACATTGAAGTTAGGCCTAAAGACCCTGAGGACATTAGTGAAGGTTTGGTGTCTCTACGGTCTACGGTTACGGAGGAGTAGCGATAACAAGGTTTTTCGCACAATGGGAAATAACTTTTAAAGGGGTTAATGTTAGGGGACAAGAAGGAAA